TAGATTCGTTGATTGTGCACGCTTAACATCGTCGGTCGACGTGCGACTTGTACCTATACAGCTGACTGTGCATGCAGTGCGCACTGAGTGCACGTACACGTGCGCGTGGCCTGTGCGTGTGTGCGCACGCGTGTTGCAAGGACATGTTCGGCGTGCAGTGCATGCGGGTGCGTGCGTGCGTGTTGCACGTACACCGTGCGTACCTGCGTGTTGTGCGTGGTGTGCACGTACACGTGCGTGGCGGCGTGGCGTGGTGTGAACATGCCGTGCACGCACGCCAGCACGCTGTACTGCACATACACGTCGACACCCGCACACATGTGCTGACACCTGAACAGCGCACGACGTGCCACCTGCCACAGCGCCGACACACACCGCGAAGCACGCACAGCACGATGTACCGTGCACACACACGGACCGCCGGACGCAAGAATGTTTACGCAAGTGTAAGTCAGACGCAGCGCACCGCACGCACGACTGTAGTACACACGCGCGCACGCACGCCGGTACGTGCACCACGCACGCACACACACACTTCAGCTAGCCACCGACGTGTACATGCACACCGCACCGCCACGCCACCGCACGCACGTGTACTGCCACACGGGACGCCGCACGCACGCCGCACCGCACGCACGCACGCACCACTTATGCGCACCGCATCGCCGCCACGTGTACGTCTGCAAAATCACAGAATCTACAGTAAGAGTTTTCTCGCACTGTTTCATGGGCGCCGAATTTTAAATCACATGCCCCTATTCCGCGCTCTTCATTGGTCGGTAAAATAGTTTTTTGGCTGAGCTGATAGCTCACGCACCCGCACACGCTGAGTTTTGGCCTCGCGTGGCCACAAAATAGTCAAACACGCTAGATATCGGTCTCACAGCACGCGAGTGCAAAATCGTGCAGAATTTTACACGCACGGGTGTAGCTATCTGCTGAGCAACTGGCCTTTGGGCGTTGGCTCAGCAGATGAGTTGCACGTGTGCGGCGCGGCTTAAATACGCGGATTTCTGAAGCCGTATTTTACTAGAGCTGGTCGGCGCTCGGACGTTCAGTGCTAACGCGAGTGGACAACAATGTCTTCTAGCGCGGACCAGTCTACTATTTATCGGCAGTTGGTTGCGCATTGCATTGTTTATTTTGCATTGCTTCGCCTGATTGTTTAAGTATGGCTCGCAGCTCCGCAAAATACCGTATTTCTGGCCAGCCGCGAATCAGCGTCTGTGAACGCTCAGGCCCGCGTATTTGTCTCAGATACGGTATTTCGCAAATACCGTATTTCATAAATACGAGGTCTCGTGTGAACGAGGCTATTAGTGGAAATTTTACTGATTACTCCGGCACAACAATCACCACAAATCTGCGCTGTTATAGGCTATAAAACAGCAGATGAACAGCAATTGTGCGCCCGCTATCTTCAGATTCGCGATAATGGAATGTTCAAACGGTCCCACAAAGCAAGGCCACGTAGTTACGTGATGCAAATATTTATCGACTTAATATACCTATCTCTAAATGTATACAAAGGTAACTAACCTAGTGGAGAGACAGCGTTCTGGGCTCGCGAGGGCAAAAATCACGTGGTAGGTTTCTATTCTAACGTGTTCTATGACATGTTAGCCTTACTCCAGTTCTGAGCTTTTTCTATGACTTTTTCACAGTGTTAAACCTCCATACCTGTTTGGAAAAAGCAGTAAGCATGGACTTAAATACACTTTTACAAATAATCATAGAAATATATTCTTTTTATTTACTATCACAAATGAATAAACAGATAACTACTTGGCACCCACGTGCTTCACTATGATGAGATATTGTATTTTCTCTCAATTCATTGGAATAGAAGTTGGCAATGACAAATCTATACATCAACCTCTCTCAAGAGCAGATAGATAGTAGGATACAACAACGTTCGTCCGGTTCATATATGCCGACAGATAGTTGTCATTCTCTACACATCGGTGACCGCTAAAGGAACGTATTGCCTAGCTGGACAGACATTGATTGCAGTGATGTAGCAAATCGCAGTTATAATTGCGTGCTAATTTATCTCTAATATTCATACAATTCGAATTATACCGGTACATTACGTAATTACTGTTAATCTATTGTCTCGACGGCTGTCACTTATCATCCAAATGCTATTCGTCCATATTTGTAAGACGTAATGGAACGTAATGGTAAAGAAAGAAGTGTTCTGCTTGGTGATAACGTATGCATCACTGCTAACTGCTGATCAACTGATAGTATTCTATTGCGAGGTTGTTCTTTTGATATGCGATGGTGTACCGTTTAGTTTGTGCTTTAAATTTATCTCGTACTTGAGATAGTCGGGTGATTGAGCACATTTATTTTGGAATACATCTGTACATGGGATAAATTTTATGGAGGAATGAATTCAAGTTAGTACTACGCCACCAAAAAACGGCGTACCATAATAACATTTAATTGCACAGTATCAGGAGGAAACAAACTTGTTATTATTCACTCCTGATAGTATATATAGAACTAGTTCAGGGCCGTAGACTGCGGGGGGACAAGGGGGGGGGCAGCTGCACCCCCTAGATTTTGGAGCAAAATTAAAAAAAACAAATTGTTCTACTAAAAGAGAATTGTCGTAGTCAGAATGAAGGCTGTTCATGTGTTCAAAAGTGCCTCAAATACCATCGCCTGCAATCTACATAAATTTTTCTAAATTCTCTGGGGGAGGACCCCCCCCCCACTCCCACCCTATTTCGCACCCCTCCTTGAAATCCTGGATCGCCACTGACTCCCCCCCCCCTTAGGTGAATTTTTGCCTCACGCTACGTACCCTGTCGGGTCTAGATGAGTTCATTCATGTTTCCCGCGGTGACATGCCACAATTGTTTCTTGGTGTACGGCCGTTACGTTTATTAACAAGAAATTACATTCGCATTTGCAATCATTTCGAGAACATGAGAGAATTCTCCTACTTCTATATAGGCTGTTGTGGTACAAAATACTGGAATCACACTTATCTACGCCTACGGCTATGTTTGGACCCATTCTAAACACTGACGCACTATGCTAATATACGTACCAAGGTTGAACATCATTATCAATAGTCATCTATGAACAATCATAACTATTAATTATCAAGGGGAGTTAACTATGAACAAATTTTGTCATCATTACCCTGATATTATCTAGACCCACAGACATAGAGTGTCATAACTCTATAGTCGGGTGAGGCTAATTCCTTTGTAATCAGTCATACGCTCGCGGTCACTGTATTAATCATTTTATTATGTGATCTATGCGCTTAGCAGATACTTTTATAAACGAATGGTAGCTTGACTAAACTTGTTGATAATGTATGCGCCATCTCGCGGATCACTATATCTCACCTGAGACCTGAGAGAAATATACAGCTGAGAACAATATATAATACATTATATCATAGATATAGATTAACTAGTCCATGCCGTTAGGTGGTAAACTTCTGTTGATAGACCACATTGTTCATGGATGGAACGTTTAGTTGTGTCATTGGCGTATACAGCTAAGAATATTTAGGCTGCAGAGGCATTGCCCCGCGTTCTAGCCAGTGACCGTAGAACTAACCGTAGCTGAAGAAGTGTTTAGACAGCTAACACACTATCCACCACACACACACACATCACCACACACACACACAACACACACCACACACACAACATACACACAATCACACATTTAACACATAACACCACGACACCAACACACCACACACCACACACCCACACACAGCTCACCAACGCCGCGCCGGCGCACACACACAACGCACGCACTACACAAACACATACAAACACACGCGCACGCGCGCTGTATAAAACAGCACAACACACACACGCTACACAAAAGACGATACACACACACGCAACAAATAGACAGCACACACACACATCACTACACGCCACGCACACGCACCACGCCACACACCACCACACAACCACACAACACACACACCACAGCACAACACACACACACACACGACACACACCACAACACACGCGCGCGCTCGCTGCGCGCAGCGCACGCAGACACCAGAAAACCTTTTTACAGCGAGTCGACTTTCTTGCGGGGCGGTATCGTTGTCGATGCTTACTTATAATAATTATAATGTATATGTACTATAATATTATTATGCTTTGGTTGCATTAGCTGGGCACTTGTCATACCAATAATTCTTTAAACAATCGCCAAGAAACAATGAAAAACAATGTATAACATTTCTCTGGTTATTAGATCAAGAGCATAGATGGAGCGCCTTTGGTCGTATACATTGTTTTTTTACATTGCCATTGTCGTATTTCGTGTTGCGACGTATGCACCGCCGTTGGTCGCAAAAAATTTCGGCCTATATTTACGTTTTTGACGTGGAAGTCGAAATAAAATAATAACTGAAAAAAAATAAATAGGCGCCAGTGCAACGTGTCATGATCTGTAGAATGTTCGTACCAAGTTTGGAGAGGATTCGTTTGACGTGGTGCGGAAAAGTATCGCGGACACCACACACACACACACACACACAACCACACACACACACACACACACACACACAACACCACACACACAAAAATC